CACCACCATCATTATACTAGAGGCCCCACCACCACCATCATTATACTAGAGGCCCCACCACCACCATCATTATACTAGAGGACCCACCACCACCATTATACTAGAGGCCCCACCACCACCATCATTATACTAGAGGCCCCTCCACCACCATCATTATACTAGAGGCCCCCCCACCACCATCATTATACTAGAGGCCCCACCACCACCATCATTATACTAGAGGCCCCACCACCACCATCATTATACTAGAGGCCCCACCACCACCATCATTATACTAGAGGCCCCACCACCACCATCATTATACTAGAGGCCCCACCACCACCATCATTATACTAGAGGCCCCACCACCACCATCATTATACTAGAGGCCCCACCACCACCATCATTATACTAGAGGCCCCACCACCACCATCATTATACTAGAGGCCCCACCACCACCATCATTATACTAGAGGCCCCACCACCACCATCATTATACTAAAGGCCCCACCACCACCATCATTATACTAGAGGCCCCACCACCACCATCATTATACTTGAGGCCCCACCACCACCATCATTATACTTGAGGCCCCACCACCACCATCATTATACTAGAGGCCCCACCATCACCATCATTATACTAGAGACCCCACCACCACCATCATTATACTAGAGGCCCCACCAACACCATCATTATACTAGAGGCACCACCACCACCATCATTATACTAGAGGCCCCACCACCATCATTATACTAGAGGCCCCACCACCACCATCATTATACTAGAGGCCCCACCACTACCATCATTATACTAGAGGCCCCACCACCATCATTATACTAGAGGCCCCACCACCACCATCATTATACTAGAGGCCCCACCAACACCATCATTATACTAGAGGCCCCACCATCACCATCATTATACTAGAGGCCCCACCACCACCATCATTATACTAGAGGCCCCTCCAACACCATCATTATACTAGAGGCCCCACCACCACCATCATTATACTAGAGGCCCCACCACCACCATCATTATACTAGAGGCCCCTCCAACACCATCATTATACTAGAGGCCCCACCACCACCATCATTATACTAGAGGCCCCACCACCACCATCATTATACTAGAGGCCCCACCACCACCATCATTATACTAGAGGCCCCACCACCACCATCATTATACTAGAGGCACCACCACCACCATCATTATACTAGAGGCCCCACCACCACCATCATTATACTAGAGGCCCCACCACCACCATCATTATACTAGAGGCCCCACCACCATCATTATACTAGAGGCCCCACCACCACCATCATTATACTAGAGGCCCCCCACCACCATCATTATACTAGAGGCCCCACCACCACCATCATTATACTAGAGGCCCCACCACCACCATCATTATACTTGAGGCCCCACCACCACCATCATTATACTAGAGGCCCCACCATCACCATCATTATACTAGAGGTCCCACCACCACCATCATTATACTAGAGGCACCACCACCACCATCATTATACTAGAGGCCCCACCACCACCATCATTATACTAAAGGCCCCACCACCATCATTATACTAGAGGCCCCACCACCACCATCATTATACTAGAGGCCCCACCACCACCATCATTATACTAAAGGCCCCACCACCACCACCATTATACTAAAGGCCCCACCACCACCATCATTATACTAGAGGCCCCACCACCACCATCATTATACTAGAGGCCCCACCACCACCATCATTATACTAGAGGCCCCACCACCACCATCATTATACTAGAGGCCCCACCACCACCATCATTATACTAGAGGCCCCACCACCACCATCATTATACTAGAGGCCCCACCACCACCATCATTATACTAGAGGCCCCACCATCACCATCATTATACTAGAGGCCCCACCACCACCATCATTATACTAGAGGCTCCACCACCACCATCATTATACTAGAGGCCCCACCACCACCACCACCATCATTATACTAGAGGCCCCACCACCACCATCATTATACTAGAGGCCCCACCACCACCATCATTATACTAGAGGCCCCACCACCACCATCATTATACTAGAGGCCCCACCACCACCATCATTATACTAGAGGCCCCACCACCACCATCATTATACTAGAGGCCCCACCACCACCATCATTATACTAGAGGCCCCACCACCACCATCATTATACTAGAGGCCCCACCACCACCATCATTATACTAAAGGCCCCACCACCACCATCATTATACTAAAGGCCCCACCACCACCATCATTATACTAGAGGCCCCACCACCACCATCATTATACTAGAGGCCCCACCACCACCATCATTATACTAGAGGCCCCTCCACCACCATCATTATACTAGAGGCCCCACCACCACCATCATTATACTAGAGGCCCCACCACCACCATCATTATACTAGAGGCCCCACCATCACCATCATTATACTAGAGGCCCCATCACCACCATCATTATACTAGAGGCCCCACCACCACCATCATTATACTAGAGGCCCCACCACCACCATCATTATACTAGAAGCCCCACCACCACCATCATTATACTAGAGGCCCCACCATCACCATCATTATACTAGAGGCCCCACCACCACCATCATTATACTAGAGGCCCCACCACCACCATCATTATACTAGAGGCCCCACCACCACCATCATTATACTAGAGGCCCCACCACCACCATCATTATACTAGAGTCCCCACCACCATCATTATACTAGAGGCCCCACCACCACCATCATTATACTAGAGGCCCCACCACCACCATCATTATACTAGAGGCCGCACTAACATCATTATACTAGAGGCCCCACCACCACCATTATTATACTAGAGGCCCCTCCAACACCATTATACTAGAGGCCCCACCATCACCATCATTATACTAGAGACCCCACCACCACCATCATTATACTAGAGGCCCCTCCAACACCATCATTATACTAGAGGCCCCACCATCATTATACTAGAGGCCCCTCCAACACCATCATTATACTAGAGGCCCCACCATCACCATCATTATACTAGAGGCCCCACCACCACCATCATTATACTAGAGGCCCCACCAACACCATCATTATACTAGAGGCCCCACCATCACCATCATTATACTAGAGGCCCCACCACCACCATCATTATACTAGAGGCCGCACCAACATCATTATACTAGAGGCCCCACCACCACCATCATTATACTAGAGGCCGCTCCAACACCACCATTATACTAGAGGCCCCACCATCACCATCATTATACTAGAGACCCCACCAACACCATCATTATACTAGAGGCCCCACCACCAGCATCATTATACTAGAGGCCCCACCACCACCATCATTATACTAGAGGCCCCACCACCACCATCATTATACTAGAGGCCCCACCAACACCACCATTACACTAGAGGCCCCACCATCACCACCATTATACTAGAGGCCCCACCAACACAATCATTATACTAGAGGCCCCACCACCACCACCACTACCCCTACCACCACCCCCACCCCCACCACCACTACCCCTACCACCACCCCCCCCCCCCCACCAAACTACCTCTTCCGCCACCATCACTACCCGCATCTCCTTAACAACCACCCCCCCCCCACAATCACTACCTCCGCCCAGACCGGCCTAAATACCACTATCATTTCAACTTTTTTTTACCAGATAACTGAATTTTTCAGTAAAACACTTCAGACAGGAAGTCTTCCAGAAGTCTGGAGAAAGGCTGTTTAGATTATAAGATTTGTAACTATGTGGACCATCATAAATACAGACATAATGACCAATTAGATGGTAGAAATTGGTACTGCTGTATGGAGCCGGTCGGCCGAGCGGACAGCACGCGGGACTTGTGATCCTGTGGTCCTGGGTTCGATCCCAGGCGCCGGCGAGAAACATTGGGCAGAGTTTCTTTCACCCTATGCCCCTGTTACCTAGCAGTAAATAGGTACCTGGGTGTTAGTCAGCTGTCATGGGCTGCTTCCTGGGGGTGGAGGCCTGGTCGAAGACCGGGCCGCGGGGACACTAAAGCCCCGAAATCATCTCAAGATAAGGCAAACATTGTTCCAACATTCAAAAAAGGGAATAGACAAGAGGTACTAAATTATAGTACCTGTTTCGCTAAGAAATCTTCCATGAAGAGTACTCAAGAAATATAATAATTTTGAGAAAAATGGCACAGGTGGTGAGGGTAAACTTTGAAATGAACAGGCAACATGGGATTATGAAGAGGGAAGTCATGGTTTACAAGCTTGATTGAATTCTAGGACAGAATACTAAAATATGACAGGAAAAAAGAACGGTGGGTAGACGGTATTTTCTGCGTCAAAAAGCATTTGATGCTGTTTTTCATGAGAGGCTGGTGTAAATGGTGAAGAAGCAGGCGGGTATAACAGTGGTGGAGATACAAGCGGGTATAACAGTGGTGGAGATACAAGCGGGTATAACTGGTGGAGAAGCAAGCGGGTATAACAGTGGTGGAGATACAAGCGGGTATAACAGTGGTGGAGATACAAGCGGGTATAACAGTGGTGGAGATACAAGCGGGTATAACAGTGGTGGAGATACAAGCGGGTATAACAGTGGTGGAGATACAAGCGGGTATAACAGTGGTGGAGATACAAGCGGGTATAACAGTGGTGGAGATACAAGCGGGTATAACAGTGGTGGGAGATACAAGCGGGTATAACAGTGGTGGAGATACAAGCGGGTATAACAGTGGTGGAGATACAAGCGGGTATAACAGTGGTGGAGATACAAGCGGGTATAACAGTGGTGGAGATACAAGCGGGTATAACAGTGGTGGAGATACAAGCGGGTATAACAGTGGTGGAGATACAAGCGGGTATAACAGTGGTGGAGATACAAGCGGGTATAACAGTGGTGGAGATACAAGCGGGTATAACAGTGGTGGAGATACAAGCGGGTATAACAGTGGTGGAGATACAAGCGGGTATAACAGTGGTGGAGATACAAGCGGGTATAACAATGGTGGAGAAGCAAGCGGGTATAACAGTGGTGGAGATACAAGCGGGTATAACTGGTGGAGAAGCAAGCGGGTATAACAGTGGTGGAGATACAAGCGGGTATAACAGTGGTGGAGAAACAAGCGGGTATAACAGTGGTGGAGAAGCAAGCGGGTATAACAGTGGTGGAGATACAAGCGGGTATAACAGTGGTGGAGATACAAGCGGGTATAACAGTGGCGGAGAAGCAAGCGGGTATAATAGTGGTAGAGAAGCAAGCGGGTATAACAGTGGTGGAGATACAAGCGGGTATAACAGTGGCGGAGAAGCAAGCGGGTATAACAGTGGTGGAGAAGCAAGCGGGTATAACAGTGGTGGAGATACAAGCGGGTATAACAGTGGTGGAGATACAAGCGGGTATAACAGTGGTGGAGAAACAAGCGGGTATAACAGTGGTGGAGAAACAAGCGGGTATAGCTGTGAAAACACTGATGGTCAGAAAAGAAAGACTCACTGACACAATAATTTCAAGCTTGAGGTGACAAATGGGATGCCTCAAGGCTCGGTCCTAGGACCACTACTCTTCCTAATTTGACCTATTTAAGGGCACGATACGTGTGAATGTTTGCAGGTGGCGTAAAACTAATAAGGAAAGTAAAACCAAGAAGGACTGTAGAAAGTTGCAGGAAGCCCTGGACAAACTCCAGGCGAGGGCAAACAAATGGTTGTTTAAAGTAAATCTCACCACGTGTAAAGTGATGACGATGGTAAACAAATTAACGAGACGAAATGGTATCTACACCAACAAGGGAAAAGGCACCCAAAGGAATCGGAAAAAGAAAGAGATCTGGTAGTGGATATCATTTAGATATCCACTACCGTGGATATCTAAATGGTGCTGAAATGGTGCTGATATCGGTGCTGATATCATGGATATCAGCACCGGCCTGTAATTCTCACTTTGAGAACCACAAAACAAAATGCAGAAAATACGAGGTTTATAACAAAATTAGTACCAGAATCAAGAGGTTTAAAATACGAGGATGTGCAAACGGAAATAAATCTCACAACCTCGTAAATCTGGGGCCGCGTAGCCTGGTGGATAGCGCGCAGGACTCGTAATTCTGTGGCGCGGGTTCGATTCCCGCACGAGGCAGAAACAAATGGGCAAAGTTTCTTTCACCCTGAATGCCCCTGTTACCTAGCAGTAAATAGGTACCTGGGTGTTAGTCAGCTGTCACGGGCTGCTTCCTGCGGGTGGAGGACTGGTCGAGGACCGGGCCGCGGGGACACTAAAGCCCCGAAATCATCTCAAGATAACCTCAAGATAGATGGTCAGCAAGTCAAATGTTTTGAAAGCCACCTCAGTCCACGACTTCAAGGCCAGGTTCGACAAAGAATTCAAACAACAAATTAGGGTTTAATGCAACGGGTACAACAAGGGTAGTTGGCGGGGCTTAGCTAGACCTCAGTTCCCCGTAGTCACTGAACAATTATCTAATGAAAATTTCACCGACCTAACAAGTTCACAAAGACCTAAAAAGTTGTAGCTTTAAATATTATGATAGATATCGTGAGGAGACATTCACATATATGGGACTAATAGAACAAGAACCCGGCAATGTGATGTTATAGTGGCCAGAATACGCCTGGGATATAGACGTATCTGGCAGCTTTCTCAAAACCCAAATGTCGAGTACACAATGTGTCAACTTTGTGAAAGAGAAAACATGCACTCTCTTGAACATTATATTGTTGAATGTCCCATACTGACTGACTTTCGCCCTCCTGGGCTAAGGTATGCTGAACTGTGTAATTACTATATGAGTACTGGAACACTTGATGATATATTGGACTTGTACCCAAGATTAACCATGTAATATATCAATTATATAATGTATGTATGTAATGTAACTATATAACCTGAGTTTGTTAAAGCACCTTCATCACCTTCAGTGATTAAGTGCTTAATTGCACACTAGTTTCTCTATCAGGTATCTCACCCTGTTAGAGTAAAAGAGACAAACGTATGTGTATGCATATATGTATGTATATATGTACATGTACGTATATGTGTATGTATGTATGTATATGAATGTGTATAAAGTATATGTGGAAGCTGATCAGAATTACATTTAACCTTTGTAAATGCACATTAATGACACTATGTAAAAGACACATCGAACACTTTATGTAGGGCATACGTAAATCTGTGTATCTATGTATTTGCGTAAGTAGCTTAGCCAAGCATTTTAAAAGCACTACAATCACCTTCTGTGGTTGATTGTTCAATAAATCCCTGAACTATATGTTTAACAAATCTCTAACCCTGTCCATGGAGGACAGAAGAAAATGTATATATGCTGGTTAGCATTGTTAATGTGTGGCCACGTCTGTGGTAGAAAAAAACCCTCTACCACCCATATCTACTCCACACCCCTCCAGTCCACCCCCCCCTTCTCCCTCCCCCTCCCCCCCGCCCCCAAGCCAGTAACCCCACCACCATCTCCGTCCACTTAAACTGCAGGGTCATTAAAGCGGCTGTTCTTACTCACTAAGTGTTTCCAAGAATTGACCATCAACTTAATTGGGCAATTCCATGTGTCTCAACGCGTGATAATCTTCAGAGGGTCGCTCTTAACCTGAAGACGATGCCACCTACTCCTTCGTTACTCACCACTACTACGTTCTGCGGCTCACTCAAACCTTTCATCAGTGTGATCATCAAGGGACGTTATCCATCAGCAGTCATCAGGCAGTTACGAGACCTGTGCATCTTTCTACAATCACGGCGGCTTAGTTTACATTTATAGACCGTTTACGACCTCTGAAGCAAGGACGGTGTCGATAACAATGGTAATGTTGGCTGTCGCACTTTCCTCGCTCGTAAACTGTTAAATAACTTCAAACTATGGCCAAGGGACGATGAACAGGTTTCGTAAATGGACACTTAAATGCTTGATGAATTCTGGCCATAGAGTGTGATTTTGTCCAGCCTTGGACATGAAAGATACACGCAGGTAATGAACATTATTGCTACTGCTGTTTTTAGTTTTTTAATATAAATTATTGGATTTGTATTTTGTAATTATAATTGAAAAAGGAAGACAAATATTATGAGTCCAGAAGGCAGTCATCTCACAGGTAGTGGTGGTTACTGGAGGCTAGGGCTTGTAAGGCTATTTATAGTGGAGGTAACGACTGTGGTTCACTGTATTCCTCACTGTCAGCGTTTCACCTGATCCCTACACTATCGCCACACAATAGTCACTACACGTGTCACTATCACCAGAATACACATCGCTGTCAAAACCACACAAGTCACTATTACCGCCCCCACACTTCACTATTACCACATACACACGTCGCTATTTCACCACACGCGTCACTATCACCCCCACACACGTCACTATCACCCCCACACACATCACTATCACACCCCCACACACGTCACTATCACCCCCACACACGTCACTATCACCCCCACACACGTCACTATCACCCCCACACACGTCACTATCACCCCCCACACACGTCACTATCACCCCCACACACGTCACTATCACCCCCACACACGTCACTATCACCCCCACACACGTCACTATCACCCCACACACACATCACTATCACCCCCACACACGTCACTATCACCCCCACACACGTCACTATCACCCCCACACACGTCACTATCACCCCCACACACGTCACTATCACCCCCACACACGTCACTATCACCCCCACACACGTCACGATCACCCCACACACACATCACTATCACCCCCACACACGTCACTATCACCCCCACACACATCACTATCACCCCCACACACGTCACTATCACCCCCACACACGTCACTATCACCCCCCACACACATCACTATCACCCCCACACACGTCACTATCACCCCCACACACGTCACTATCACCCCCACACACGTCACTATCACCCCCACACACGTCACTATCACCGCTTGCCAGTTGTTTGTAAGCACTAAACACACTACACTGGACCACTGTGTAAATGCCCCATAAAGTCACTCTGGGTGGCGCTGAAGGTTTAAAATGACCCTTAATGTGTGGCGGCAGTACGCTTATACTCCCATCTCACCTTCTCTTAAGCTAGGTTCACGGTTTAAGGAAGCTATTCACACCTCTGCTCCTGAAAGAGTTTTTTGTGACGGTAAACTGGGCGTTGTTTGACTCCTTAGCTATCTTGAGGTTATCTTGAGATGATTTCGGGGCTTTTTAGTGTCCCCGCGGCCCGGTCCTCGACCCGGCCTCCACCCCCAGGAAGCAGCCCGTGACAGCTGACTAACACCCAGGTACCTATTTTACTGCTAGGTAACAGGGGCATAGGGTGAAAGAAACTCTGCCCATTGTTTCTCGCCGGCGCCTGGGATCGAACCCAGGACCACAGGATCACAAGTCCAGCGTGCTGTCCGCTCGGCCGACCGGCTCCTAAGACTCCTTTGGTCGGCGAGGACCCTTGGAGTCTCTGTCCGGGTATGGCTCAGCGAAGCCTCCAAGTCTCGTCCAGAAAATATCATGTTTTGAAACAAGTTTTTACAATTTATAGCACTGTGCTGTGAGAATTTGAGAATTGTTCAGCTGCTTTGCATATCCTAATTGTAGGCAATTGATGTGAACAGGGCACTCTAAGTAACAGGGCACTGTTTACACTAAGTGAACAGGGCACTCTAAGTAACAGGGCACTGTTTACACTAAGTGAATAGGACACTCTAAGTAACAGGGCACTGTTTACACTAAGTGAACAGAGCACTCTAAGTAACAGGGCACTGTTTACACTAAGTGAACAGGGCACTCTAGGTAACAGGGCACTGTTCACACTAAGTGAACAGGGCAGCTAGAATGATAATCCAGGTTCGACACCAGTCACTACTGAGTGTCCTTGAATAGCTGCCATCATCTAGTGTCTTATAGTAGTATCTATACCTGTATAGTAGTACCTGTATAGTAGTACCTATACCTTCATTATACCCCGTCCAAAAGGAGAAAAACGAAAAACAACAGAAAAACCCATGGTTCAACCAGGAAGGCAAGGTAGCGAAACAACTGAGTAAAAGAACATGGAGAAACTACAGAAATAACAGAACACCAGAGAGCAGGGAGAGGTACCAGAGGGCCAGAAATGAGTACATCAGAGTGAGGAGAGAAGCAGAGAGACAGTTTGAAAATGACATCGCGAGTAAAGCCAAGACCCAACCAAAGCTGCTCCACAGCCATATCAGGAGGAAAACAGCAGTGAAGGAACAAGTGATGAAGATGCGGAAAGGGGAGAACAGATACACAGAGAATGACAAGGAGGTGTGTGAAGAACTCAACAAGAGATTCCAGGAGGTCTTCACAATAGAACAAGGAGAAGCCCCTGCACTAAATGAGGAGGAGGCAAACCAAGCAACCTTGGAGGAATTTGACCTCACTAGTGATGAGGTCAAAAGGTGTCTGCTGGAGCTAGATGTGACAAAGGCTGTTGGGCCTGATAGAATCTCACCATGGATACTAAAGGAAGGTGCAGAAGCACTAAGTGTGCCACTCTCTATGGTGTATAACAGGTCACTGGAAACAGGAGACTTACCAGAAAGTTGGAAGACAGCTAACGTGGTCCCAATATACAAAAGGGTGACAGGCAAGAGGCACTGAATTACAGGCCAGTTTCCTTAACTTGTATACCATGCAAGGTGCTGGAGAAGATCGTGAGGAAAAGGCTCGTAGAGCATCTAGAGGGAAATAACTTTGTAACGCACCACCAACATGGGTTCAGAGATGGTAAATCGTGCCTCACAGGGTTAATAGAATTTTATGACCAGGCAACGAAAATTAGGCAGGAAAGAGA